CTGAAGCCTGACTGGAATTCTCCCAGGATGTTGCTACTTGAGCCCTATTTATTACTGCTTACCTTGTCCATCTCAGGAGTAAATTCTAAAATGCTGTATTCAAAGCTACTGCATCAGTGGAGAGAAGGAGCATGCGAGGGAGTCAGAATCAGAGAAAAAGCTCACTCCTGTGATGGTGGCTGTGAGCAGTAACAATTAGGCTTCACTTAGAAATGTCCTGGGAGCATTCCAGTCAGGTTTTGGAAGGTACGTAAAAGGCCTACATCTATAGCAAGGACATTATTCAACTTTAGCCAGAGCTGCAGACCTTGAGAGAAGCTTCTGACGCCGCTCAAGGCTGATTGTAAATAGTAATTACCCTGTCAGCAGAGAGAGAGAGGGAGCAGCGTCTCAAGTTACTCCAGAGACTTGGTAAGGTATGTAGGGGTGAACGCCACTCGAACCGATCCCCAGGAGTCAGAGAACAACACTGTGTGATGGATGGCCTCAGCCATTGCTCCTGCCATGCCCTCTGGTGCATTTCATCCCACCCATAGGGGGCTTGGTCACAGAGCTTCTGTGACCAAACCCCCTATGGTCAGGGCGAAACTCCTCAGAAGGTGTGGCTGGAGCGACGCATGTGGTTGCCTTGGGTAACGGAGATCTACAGTGAGTCAAAGCAGCCTGGCGGTAGCATGTATCTTTTACAGGTGGTGTGTCCTCTAGCAGCGAAAGAGATGTTGCCAGCACTCCTTCTGCAGCAGTCTGTCTCCCATAGCAAAGGGAGTGGATCAACACTGCCGAGGTCCCCATTCTGTACAGAGATACAGAAGAGTTAGGTCAAGTGCAGCCCGTGCTAGGTGCACGATGGGGCTCATTCTGCTATGGGGAGAGGCAGTGACAAACTCTGAACAGGTGGATGTGGACAAAGCTCAGCAAGACCCTCCTAAATGCAAGATACAGTGAGAGGTGTACATTGACAAGGGGGCCTGAGAGTTCACTGGAATACAGGCATTGTGCAAATGTATACAGTATATGTTCATCTCAAACGTATTGAGGATTCCCCCAACGCTGCCTCAGCCTTGTCCCAGGGCATTGATGGAAACAGCACAAAGTAAAAGTACCCCATGTGTGAGGCAGTAACGCTGTTACAGGTGCCTAGCGTAACCAAGAAGATCACGCCCGAGGGTAGCCCTCTCATGTGACCCACACTTGGCATCCAACTAGTTAATGGGGACCATGGAGGAAGGTCCACCATCACCCACCTCTTAGATGTGGATGAAAGCCCACACATTCACAACGTGGGGGGGGAGAACCACCCCCCCCTTGCAGTCTCGGGAGCAATGAAGGGGCAGGTGGTACCATTTGCACTATGTTACATCCGAAATACACTTGTAATATGTACAAGGGCCAGATCTATGGGGGTTCTGGGGTAAAACTCTCCTCCACCCTGGACACTGTACTGCTGAATGATACTTCAGACATACTTTCTCCCCTGAAGCTTTATAAATGTAGCAAATGTACCGCCTAGTTGATCATCAGGTCAATGGGGAGGGGGGGAGGCTTCCTGTACCTCTCCCCTGTCATCTAATACAGGTCGGCTATCCCTCGGTGATCTTCGCTGTCTTTCGAGGCGGTCGGAGTTGGTGGGTGTCATTTTTCTGCACAGTCTGGATATGAACATTTGGCAATGAGCACTTTGAGTCTGAATACAGATTATGGACTTTTTGTTTAATATGAATTTGTCTATTGATTTTGTATGAATTTATTGCACATTATTTTGTTTCACATAGTTTTATTTTTATTTATTCATTATTTATATTGCATAGAGTACTTTTATTTATTACACATATCTCTGCACATTATTTAGAAGAGTCTGGTCTATATAATTCTAGCTTTTTACAAGCTTGGAGAAGTGCTGCTCTGTGATGGATGAGGATTTGATATATATTTCTACACATGGGACACTTTATAATTAGGTGTATATAATAGCGCAGTCTACTCAATATTTATACATATTGTGTGTAGAGACATGGGGGTTGATTTACTAAAACTGAGAATGTTCACCACGCAAAGTCATTCTTACTGAGCTAAAGGCTGGTACAAACGGACCGCAAATCAGAAGGTTCAGCAGGCAGAATTTTGGTCTTTGTGTATGTTTTCAGTTCAGCAGAAGCAGGACTAACTATAGTCTGGAAAACCAGCAATCAGTGCTTGCAGCAATGGCTGTGAATTCTGACGAGGATGGGGAGGGCCTCTACTGTCAAAACCGCAATAGTGCTGCAGGGGAGATCCCCTGGCAACACAAAAATTGTGCGCTCCCCCCCCCCCCCATGCCCCAATTAGAGAGCTAGAGAGTTCAATGAGTGTGCTTATAAAATATTTTTATTTAATTTTTCCCTCTCTCTCTTCCCCCCATTCCTCCTAGCAAATACCACCACCAGAGACAGGATCACAGGTAGATGGTACGGGACTGCACGCATGCACACACGATTACCACCCCCTACCTCCTCCAAGGGCTGCTCCTCTCCAGGCAGCAGGAAATGTGGGTAGGGGGTGGTAATCATAGTGTATGCAGTCCCATATGATCTATCAGTGATCCTGTCTCATGTGCTGCATGGACGACAGGAGGGAGAGCCTAGATAGAGAACACAACACAACTACTGTAAAGCGCTGAGCAAACTGTTGGTGCTATATAAATCCTGTATAATAATAATATAATAATAATAATAATAATAATAATAATAATAAACACAGCTCACCTCCTCCTGGCTCTTTCCTCTCTACCACGTCTCCTCTCCCTGTTCCAGGCATTCCTCTGGTCCCAGCTCTGAGTGCCGGCAGGGGAAGGAGCTCAGCAGCCACTCAGGAAAACTAGGGCACCGCCTTGATCTGGCCAGGTCTGTCTCTCCCTCCAGCAGCAGAAAGTTGGTGGGAGGGAGAGGGGGGAGAAACCAGCTTTCAGCTGCTGCAGGGAGAGATACACAGGGCATCATTCTACAACTGCTCTCCCCCACCACACAGATCCTCTTGCTGCCTGTGCCACCTACAGGAGTACTGGTGGTACCCCTCAGATGGTGGCCCTGTATGACTCCGTCCACCGCCGCCCCTCTAAAATTTGCAGCCCTAGTCAAATGCCTGGTTTGCCTCACGGTAAATACACCGCAGGTATACCCAGCTTAAACTTCAGTTAACCAGTTGCCCTCAGCCCTATTAGCAGAAGTACTGCTACAGGGCGGCACGGCTGCACACAAATCACGTAAATAGAAGTGATTTGCATGTCTGGATAGCTGTACCCGCGCTACTATTGGCTGCTGGGGATGCCAATCATCGGGTCCCGACCAGCGATTCCTGGCCGGGACTCGGTGTTCATCGGTAGGGCTGAGAGAGGAGAGATCTCGGTGTGTAAACACAGATCTCTCTCCTGTCAGCATGGACATGCTGCTTTGTATCTCTCTGCACAGCAGAGAGATACAAAGCAGCATGTCTTCCTAGTAAAACAACACAGCACACAATGTGAAAACACACACAGCACACTGTTAACCCTTTGGGCAGGAAGGGGTTAACTTCTGGGGCGATCAGTGTCATTAGTAAAGTGCTTTTTATTAGCACTGATCACTGTATTAGTGTCACCGGGGATGTCAGTGGCCATTAGTCAGTCCCCCACAGTGTCAGAATGCCTGATGCAGCCCTGCTATAAGTCGCTGATCACTGCCATTACTAGTATAAAAATAAATAAAAATTCCAGTATATATATATATATATATATATAATATATATATATATATATATATATATATACATACACACACACACACACACCACTATTTGTAGACGCTACAACTTTCACATAAACCAATAAACACTTATTGTGATTCTTTTAGCAAAGACATGTAGCAGAATACATTTTGGTCTTAATTTTGTGAAGAAATTATTGGAAAGTTTTTATAGGAAAAAATCAAAAATAGATATATTTTTTCAAAATTGTTGGGAATTTTTTTGTTTATAGCGCAAAAAATAAAAAAATGCAGAGGTGATCAAATACCACCAAAAGAAAGCTCTACCTGTGGAGAAAAAAAAAAAAAAAAGGACTTAGATTTCATTTATCTACAGAGTTGCATGACCGTGCAATTGTCAGTGAAAGTGCCGGATCGCAAAAAAATGGCCTAGTCAGGAAAGGGGATAAATCCTCTGGAGGGCAAGTGGTTATGCTAGAAAGCAGCACAATCTACTAATCATGGCATTTTTTATTTATGTATTTATTTAAAGTTTCCCTTGCACAGGATTGGTATTCCCATCTCAGGTTCAGCTTTATTTGCCATGTCACTTCAGAAACTGAACACATTGCCTTTGCTAGAAACAATGTTGCTAAAACTTTGCCTTTGCCAAGCAAACAGCTTCTACTACTTCACTAAGCTTATCTGATTATGGTATGGAATTGGAGCAAAGAAATTCAACAAAATAGATAAAATTAGAAACTATTCACTTTGACAGAGGAATGCTTTTATTAAACAAAAATAAACTTGAAATTAACAAGTCACGCTATTTGACAGAGGAGTTTTTTTTTCAGGGTAATTCTTTAAATTGAAAATAAATTATTACCAACAGAACACAGCAGATTGGCTGAAATTCACAGTCATCTTGAATCACATTGATACACTAAATTGCTTAGTCTTACAAATATCTGAAAATTGAGTTGTATGACATTATGTATAATTTTGCTGTGCAGAATATTTTTCTATGTCATCTGTCAGAGATGAAAATTCCGTTAATTTCTTGACAGGTAAAAAAAAAAAAAAAAGAATAATTATATATATATAAAGCACATTGCCATATAAATATTTTGAAAGTTCCACCATTGTGTTTTATTATAATACAATATATACCAATTCATGCGTATAGTGACAACGTATTTCAAAAAACGCCAAGCATGACAAAACACAGTTTTTTTTTTTTTTAATTTAATTTTTATTTTTATTTTTTAACCTCATCATAGCAACTTTTTACCAAGGTGCTAAATCTCATCTTGGCCCTACCCTGTTCTTGAAAGCTCTCATGGATTTGGCCATCATTGGTGCAATCTCTAGAAAAGAGAATAGTGTATATTATGTTAAGAAACAATTAAGCATGTAAAGGCAAAACATGGGAAAAAGCCACAGACATAAAATATATATTGGGGCATTTACATTTACTGCTGGAAGGTATAGGTCCTAGTTAACTGAATTTCTGCTTAGCATAAACATGGTCAATAGCAATGCTTATATTAAAAAAAAAAAAAAAAAAAAAAAAAAATGATAAAAAAATATTACAAGACTCAAATGCTATCCAGCAAAACAGACAGATAATCAGTACAGCAAACAGGTTTTGTATTTTAAAATATAGTATTTTAGTTAACAGAGCCTGATATATTTTTAGGAACTCAGCACTTTTACCTTTTTGTTCTTTAAAGTTGAATTAGTGACTCCATCTGTCGGTAACAGCTGCTTGAGGGAATGTTTGCACCACAAGGGGTATATTCAACAGCATGAGGATGGGCATTTAACATTTCACGAAATGAGTAGCTTATCTTTGAGGTGTTAAGAGTGGGAAGTTTACAAAAGGTATTTGAAATACTAGGCTATTACAATAGTCTTGGTCACCAAGACTAAACATTGCTGAAGATACACTCTTCAGTCCTCTATGAAATAATGTTGCAGAGCCCCCATTTATATTCAAAACCTCAAGCTATCGAGGTAAACATTTGACAGTCTAATAAAATAAAATGATGAAATAGATGGAACATAGTCTCTTAGCAGCTGCTACAGTGAATAGAACTCTTTCTGCACTGGGAATTACCATTACAACATTGAATTAGGGCTTCTAATAAAATATTAAAGTGCTTTTTAAAGATTGAAGCACCTATACTTGACACTTCTGCTATATTTTCTTTTTGCTACCTTGGCAAGAACTGCACTGTGTGGGGTTTAAGGCATTCAAGGACCACGTAAGCCACCAAGGTCTATTGGCTCTGCACAAAATGGATGAAAGTGTTCTATACATAAAAAAGGACTAGGTTTAATATGTATTGTAATGTGGCCTTAACTATTCAGGTCATCGCTTTCCTTAGAGGCAGTAAGAGCTCCAGCTTGTTCTTTATGTCCACCAGGTGGCATGCTCTACATTCTGTGTAGCTATTTTACTAAACTACGCAGTAGAGTGATTTGTTATGTTTGCCACCACGTAATGCACTCTGCCAAGAGTTATTTATTTATTACAGGTACTTCTATAGCATTGTCAATTTATGCAGCACTTTTACATATTTAGTATATATTGTACATTCACATCAGTCCCTAGCCCTCAAGGAGCGTAAAATCTAAGGTCCCTAACTCACATTCATACATATACTTTAGAACGTGGGAGGAAACTGGAATACCCAGAGGAGACCCATGGAGGCACAGGGAGAACATTAAAGTGATTGTAAACCCTCACCTTTTAAAACAACCCATTAAGTTTAAAATAGAAATGAAAGGCAAAAGCATTTGTGTATAGATATGAAAAAAACATATACACACACACTTTTTGTTTGCTTTTTTTTTTTTTAAAAATGAACACATTCCCTCTGCTCTCAGCTGCATAAGAGCAAGTGGAGTAGAAACTGCAGTACACTGATCTTCCCAGTGAAAGGCTGTGCAGGGGGAAGGTGTCAGGACAAGTCTGATCACTGGCAGAGAGCACACAGAGTTCCCAACATAGCTGGAGAACTGACCACGCGGTATTCTCCTGCTTCCCAGATAGCAAGGATAACTTGCTAAAAATTTGTGGCAGAGTTGAATAGCAAGTCTTGTTAACTTGCTGCACATTTTCACTGGCAAGGTGTACACTTGCAGAGCACTTGAAGCACAAGTTTTAGTTGACACTTTCAATTTGTTGCAAATGTGTGTAGCAAGTCTCTAGCAAGAGCAATGTTGCAGTGGTGAGTGGTGAGTCTACAGCATGACCCCCGCAAGTCTCATAACCAAAATCAGAACAACTTGCAGAATTTTTGCAAAGAAAGTTGATCAGGAGTCATGCAAAGCAGACTTGCTGCAATTGTGCAACAAACTTGTGAAGTCTGGTAAGTCTAACAATAGCTTAGCAAGTGATTTCAAACTTGCAGCTCAATTGCTTACCCTCTGGGTTAGTGTGGTCAGTTTTTAATAGGAAAGCAGAGGGACTGGCAGGGACACCAGGGATTTCACACAAAGGAAGCAATACAAAGAAAACAGGATACCTTTTCTTACAAGCACATGGTACAGCAGACACATCAAGAATATCAAATGTTGGATTTACATATTGTTTAAGTCATACCATTTATTCACTAACCCAAGCTATTAAAGATGCAAGCTTTTGAAACGTTCCTTGGGTGCCTTCCCCAGACAATCTAAAATTATAAAAAAGGTTCTGGAACCTACGTTTATACATAGGGGTTGATTTAATAAAAACTGGAGAGTGTAAAATCTGGTGTAGCTCTGTTTGGTAGCCAATTGGCTTCTATCTGAAGCTTGTTTAACCTCCCTGGTGGTATTCCCGAGTGTAGCTCGGGGTAAAGTTTCAGTAGCACAAGCGGTAACCCCGAGCTACACTCGTGCTTACCATGCCACGCTGCTCCGGGATCCCTCGATCACTTACCTTGTCCTGCGCTCCCGCGATGTCAGTCCTGCAGTGCCCCCGGCAATGTAATCCGGCGGATGCCAGCATATGTCATCTGGGTTCCGTCCCCTGCGAGCGTCGGGATGTACGGGGGGACGGAACTGGCGGAAAATTTGAAAATGACAAAAAGTGACATTCACTAAAATCACATAGTAAAACATTACTGTATCAAACCATTTCACATACATTTCCTCTCTAGTGCTTTTTCCTGTGCACTGCCTGCATTTTTTACTGTTCTCTCTGCCTGCAAACTGAGAAACGTCCATGGTGTCCAAAAAGTGTCCCTTTAGGTCAAAAGTGGTTTTAGACCAGCTAGAGAACAGCGATGGTAAATCAGAACCACTTGCAGAATTGAGTGATGATTCGTGGGGAAATTCGTCATCAGACACTGAAAACGATTTTGCAACATTGCTCAGTGATGTGCGAACTTGGAGCTATATTTCAAATTTCAGTGTTTTTGATTTGATTATATTATTGAATTTAATGTATTATTATATTTTTTTATGATTATTTATTAAATTATAATTTATGATTTCTTGTCCTACCCAGGATGTTTAGACTCTTGTTCGGACAGATTTCAGTGAGTTATTCCTAAAAATTACAGGCCTACAATAAAAAAAAAACAAAAAACAAAAAAAATACATATTTCCATGCAAACAAAAATGTACCGCTTTGAGCACAGAAATATGGACATAATCATACCGCTAGGGAGGTTAATTAAACCTGGAAGCAGACAGCTATAGGCAATGCGATTCCCCCATTAACACGGTCTGTGTTGATGGGGGAATCCCTCCCGCAGAGCTATAGTGTTCTCCTGGCTTGGGGGAGCTGGGGCAGCTTTCCCCACTGCTGTCCAGAGTCACTGGCAATAATCGCATGAAAATTCCAAACAGGCTGATTGTACCCAAGTCATACAACAAATTGGGTACAATCAAACTGCCCATAGGTGGTTGTGTTTTTGTGCTTCTTTAGAAAGCCAGATCTGTTAAACCAGACGGGATTTGAACCATCTCCTAATCAGTTACCCTAATGGCACTCTAAGCCTTGATTTCTATCTATAGGGTCTATCCATTACTAAAGTCTATGGGAGAAAAAAAAAAAAAAAAAAAAGTACCCACATTTTATTATTGGTTGAATTGTATTACTTCCCTTTGTAACTAAGAATACATATGTGAGTTTCAGAATCTTTTTCAGGTATTCCTTCTTTTGGGAAGGGGTCTAGAAAATGTTTTGAAAGCTTGCATTTGTAATTAATTAGTTAAAGAATACGTAAAGTCAATATTTCATATGCCCGATACGTGCCTGATATGCCATGTACTTGTATGAAAAAGTATCCCGTTTTCTTTGCATTGCTTCCTTTGTGTGAAATTCCTGGGGTTCTTGAGCAGAGTAATCCCTCTGCTTTTCTATTAAACACTGACCTCACTAGGCAAGAGAGTACAGCAAATGTTTTGCCTTTCATTTCTATTTTAAACTGAATGGGTTGTTTTACAAGCTAAGGGTTCTCAATCACTTTAAACAACTTAAAGCACATCTAACCCCCCAAAAAATAATATATACTGTATGGTATTTAGAAGTGATGGCTGCATAGTGTTCTTTTTTCAGGTTTATGGTCACACTTCCTGTCCAAAATGTGGCTATGCTCACTCACTCTATGGTATCTTTGGAGATACCATATCCACAATTGCCATACAGACTGGACTACCAACATATCTTCCATTCCTCATCTCTATTACATTGGAACAGAGGGGAATAGCAGTTTACAGAACGAAGATAAAAATTGTTTGCGCTGTACTTCTGCAAGAACACCAGGTATTTTTCTGTACTTGCTGAAAAAGTTGACAAAAAAAAAAAAAAAGGAAGCAGTTACCACCTTTAAGGCTTCATTCATGGCCCATGCTGCCCTATTGAGATGCTGCAGCTGTACAGACACAGTCATTTGTCCTAATGTGGCAGGCATACAAGGGCAGGTGAGTGGCCCCAAATGAAGCCAGTGTGAAATGTACGGCAAGGAACTGCAGCTGCGCCCATACATCCACTTCATTCCAATTGCGAAATATAGACTGTCTGAACGTAGTGCCCGTGTGAATCATCTCCAAGGACTGATGAGCTGCAGTATATTAAATCTGGAAATAAAAAAGGATTCACCATATATAGGCCCCTCTTAGAAATTAAAAACCCGAAAAGGGCTCTCGCTTTCTAAATCTGTGCATATGGACTCTGACACAAGCTATGCTTTGATCAAATATACCACCTATTAGTTCCTATGACCAGTAATCACATAAATAGGTTTAGCTTCACCACTGCAGAACGTGTATGTTGCACACGAGACAGGGAATGGCCTAATCCTATTTTTAGAGCTCATGTTTTGTTACACGACTTTTAAAGTGTCTAATGATTATGTATGCAATTATA